GGCATTTTTAGAAGGCTATAGCAATGAAGAGATTAATATATCTGCCTGTGATAGTAGATGAATTTGAAATTTTCAAACACTATAAATTTTCCAGGTGGTTGCCAACTGGAAATTAAGTGTTCTAAGTGCTCATAGTAGGTGAATAAAAGATAAACATTTGGTATTTAGTAAGACATTTATCATAAAATGATGGAAACTCATGAGGAACTGGAAACCAGGAGACATATTTAAGCAGACAAATATTAGGGTCAAATCAAGGAATTGCTAGCTAAGAACATACAAACAGAGTCTTAAAAGCAGAAAGGGTAGTATTAAATGGAAAGGATGTAAAAATCAAATACATCAATGAATGCTCTTAATGCTAAAATATGGAAACACAGAAATATGGCAAAAATTAAAAATGACTTATCATTGAATCTACTCTGATAATACACTGAATATTGATCTCTTCTAGAAGCTTAATTCTATTCCCAGCTGTCCCAGGAATAAACCCTGGTCTAGAGTAGCAGTTCGTAAATAGTAGTATAAGAATTCCTGGAAAACCTATGAATTTATCCTTAAAGAAACAGTAGAACACACAAATTTAGGTGAGGTTCCCAGCAAAAAGCACCAAAGGGAAGGTGACATTTACTTTTAAGTTTCTTGATGAAGGAGAAAACTAGACAACATTCTTGGTCACAGCTGCGGCTTCCCACGGATTTAACTTAGGCAAAACCCACCATGCAGCTCTGTATTGAGATGCTGAAGGCTATATAGAGATATGATAAATGAGAGAAAAGATATCCAAAGAAGGGGTGGGGGTAAGCAGGATTTTCTCAAGTAAATAAAATTTGGAAGGAGAGGTTAAGGGTGTAGGAATCAAGAGTCCCATTTTGTGGCATAATATGATTCTGATACCTTTTTGAGGTGCAATGGAAATGGCAAAAGCTGTTGTCTATACAAGTGTGGATCTTAGAAGGAAAGTCTGGGATATAAATTTGTAAGTCATTAACATAATGGTGGTATTATAGGAATTGAAAGCATCACCTAAAGAGAAGATCTAGGGAGAAAAAAAGAGAAGGGTTCACCACTAGGTTAGTGAAAATCACTTTTAAAAAAGCAATGCATAGGCCAGGCGCAGTGGCTCAAGCCTGTAATCCCAGTACTTTGCGAGGCCGAGACGGGCGGATCACAAGGTCAGGAGATTGAGACCATCCTGGCTAACATGGTGAAATCCCGTCTCTACTAAAAAATACAAAAAACTGGCCGGGCGAGGTGGCGGGCGCCTGTGGTCCCAGCTGCTCGGGAGGCTGAGGCAGGAGAATGGTGTGAACCCGGGAGGCGGAGCTTGCAGTGAGCTGAGATCCAGCCACTGCACTCCAGCCTGGGCGACAGAGGAGACTCCGTCTCAAAAAAAAAAAAAAAAAAAAAAAGGCAATGCATAGACACTGCACAGAAGAAGAAGAGAAAGTAAAGAAAATTGACTGTAAGAGAGAAGAGCCAGCTGGGAAAGAGATAGATGGGAGTGAGACAGATTGGGTTTCACTAAGACACAGACATTACACCTGAACCAAGAGGAAGACAACAGCACAGTGTCTGACACAGTGTAATCACCCAATAAAGGCTTGTTAAATTAATGACTTGGATGAATGAGTTACAGACTGAACTAGCATGGCATTTCTAGAATTAAGAGTTGACTAGGAAAGGATGGAAATACATGGTAAAATTATGATAACTCTAAGAAGTTCAGACCAAGGTGATGCTGTAAACTTACCTTAGTTTTATTTTAATATACTCACCAACCAAAAAAGAGTAAGTTCTGTAGTATTTTCTACTCTTTAATAAAATTTAACAATGAAATAGATTATTGGGAAGTAATCAGTAAAACTTTTGTAGATTAATTTTAACTGCTTAGACAAGGAAAAATGTATTGAACCTTAGAAGTACAAAAAGAAATATTACAACGGTATACAGAAATACAATAATGACTCAAAATACTTCCACTGAAATGCAACAGAAAAACTGTAAGCCATTATATCTTAGAAAAGAAGCAGTCCTAATGAAGTAGATTTTTGAAAACCATCATACAGGTAAGCTCATTAGTTGGAATGAAAGTTCTCCCTGCTGATCTAGGAGTACTTAATGATCAGGATTTGTTATGTCTCAAAAACAAAGGTACGTTTTAATTCATGTGATAGCTCTCTGAGGAGGTTTCAAATCTGGAAACTTTTAAATGATGATACATAATACATGTATAAGAGCACAAAAACACTCCAAAGCAAACACAGACTTACTTAATTCAAAACATTACATTTTCTCCTCAAGTCTCATTCATTAATAAAGTAATATAATAATAAAAAAGTTATGCTCAACAATCACCTATACTATAAAAAGTGTTTCAGTGATGGCTTTTCTGTGTTAAAGATGAAGCTGGCTGCTCCCTGTGAAACATATTAACGGTATCTGTGGACCCATCCACAGACACTAGACTCCACTCTTAACAGATGGAAACTGAAAAGCCCTCAAACCCCAGCACGCCCCGCTGAAACACCAAAGCAACAAACTGAAAAATACCCAGAAGAACCAAACCAAGTTACAGTTCTGGAAGTCCTTATCAAAGGTAAATATTTTTAAAGAACAAATTAGAATATTAATAAAGAATTTTAAGTATAAGTCAACATAAATATTTTATTTTTTTTTTTTTTTTTTTTTTTGAGACGGAGTCTTGGCACATCGCCCAGGCTGGAGTGCAGTGGCCGGATCTCAGCTCACTGCAAGCTCCGCCTCCCGGGTTAGCAAGCTCCGCCTCCCGGGTTTACGCCATTCTCCTGCCTCAGCCTCCCGAGTAGCTGGGACTACAGGCGCCCGCCACCTCGCCCGGCTAGTTTTTTGTATTTTTTGGTAGAGTCGGGGTTTCACCGAGTTAGCCAGGATGGTCTCGATCTCCTGACCTCGTGATCCGCCCGTCTCGGCCTCCCAAAGTGCTGGGATTACAGGCTTGAGCCACCGCGCCCGGCCAACATAAATATTTTAAAAATTTCATTTACAGCAAAACCTGCTAAACAATAAATTCTACAATAAAAAATACATCTACTCAACCATATTTTTCTCCAGGAAAAAAAACTCCCTGTGTATTTCAAGGTACTTTGTACCATGTTTTCGTCCACTACTGTGTTATCTATCAAACTGCTTAATGTCCATCAAGAACACTCATTTCCAATTTTTTTCATCCCATTTGGTCAAAAATTCCAAAATATCAGAATTCTCTCTTTAGAAGAGTTGATTTCCCTGAGTTAACGGACCAATCAGTAAGAGTTATTCTGAATATCACTGAGTAATTTTGAATGTTTCCAACCCATTCAGATCAATGCCCTTTTGCCCTATCTCAGGTGGTTTAACACAAGAAAATAATTTCAATTATTTTCCCTTCTTGAATCCTATTAAAACATCTATAACTATATATATGGAAAGATTCTTCTTATAGCAAGGACTTTTTTTGGTAGCAGAGGGGTAAAGTAAGTAATTCAATCATTCATTATAACACTAGGCTTTATTAGTAAAAATTTAAGTGAAAAGCTTATTTTTTGTCTTACAAATCAAGACAGGCCATATGAAATATTTACTTCAAAGAAACACACATCTCAGAACAAACTTTCAAAGAATATCTCATCCAATCACATGTTTCTTTGTCAATAAAGTTCTATAAGCTTCATTTTATAGAAGAAGAACAATTTAAAGGGAGTAGGAAAAGATAAAATTGATTTTTTTAAAGAAGAAATATTCATTCTAACATGGAAAACAATAAAATATCCTTCTTTAAGTTGAATTCCAATATTAAAAAGAAAATAAAGAGATTATAAAGACAATTTCATATTACTAATGACTAGTAGTCAACAAAAAAAGAATACAGATATTCCAGCATTCCAGATGAGTTGTTTTCCAAAATGTATTCATAAATTGGTTGTTTGACACCAAGTACAGTTGACAGAATCCATGTGAAATATAAATGAAAATTGAGGCCAGGTGCAGTGGCTCACGCCTGTCATCCCAGCACTTTGGGAGGCTAAGGCAGGCGGATCATGAGGTCAGGAGATCAAGACCATCCTGGCAAACATGGTGAAACCCTGTCTCTACAAAAATACAATAAATTAGCTGGGTATGGTGGCGGGTGCCTGTAGTCCCAGCTACTTGAGAGGCTGAGGCAGAAAAATGATGTGAACCTGGGAGGCGGAGCTTGCAATGAACCGATATCAGGCCATAGCACTCCAGCCTGGGCAACAAAGCGAGACTCTGTCTCATAAAAAAAAAAAAAAAAAACAAAGCGAGACTCTGTCTCATAAAAAAAAAAAAAAAAAAAAAAAAAAGGAAAATTGAATTATTAAGGTAGTCAAAAAATTATATTTAAATCATATTATAACTAAGTATAAATAATAGGTCTATCTGTTCTATGACCCTTTACGGCCTGATCTAAGCCCACAATTGAGACTAGAATCAGGTTAGAAATTTGGGCATTATTTTTTGTCTTACAAATCAAGACAGGCCGAGGGTGAAAATGAAACTCTGGCAGGTATGGTGTCTTCTATAACAAAAAAAGAGAGCACCAACAAGCTGGGCAGAGATAGACTTGGTACTCAGGCAAGTGGGGACACTGATTGCTGGTTCTGGTCTCAGGTACATAATAAGCTATCAGTGCCTATGAATGACATTGAATCAAGAGAGCATCGCCCTGGCCAAAGTGGAGATTTAGCAGTAGAAGGTAGGGCTAGCAGGTATCCATAGGGTTTAAACTGCAAAACAAAGTAATTTATAATATAAGACCTCATCATCTAACTAAACAAATTAAACTCATACCTGCATTCATTACAACTCACAATATTCTACAACTCTCTATTTTTAAAATGAGATACTGGGTATGAAAACACTGTGATAAAGTGGAAAGTATATACAAATAAAAGGTACAATTTTCAGTCTTTTAGCACTGAAGACCAGAGCCATGAAATGTTTCTTAAAAAGGTACAAACCTTTACTAGCTTTGTCTAAAGGTTCCAAATCACCCACAAAATTCAGTATATCAGGGTACTTCTCTTCACATACTTCCACCAGGAAATGAAGTAGCGTTGTTTTCTGATCTGCTGACTTTGTGTCCTTTAGCTAAATAGAATAGGAGGGAGAAAAAACACAGAGTCATAAGTATGTTGATATTCTGTCTACTTAAATAATGTTAATACTGTACTTTGTAGATAAGGACTCAAAGTTGTAAAATTAGTTGATTTCGTTTTTGAAAAACAACTATTTAAATACTTGACAAACTACTTTTGACTTGCTGCTGCTTGGTGAAAATCATTATTTGTTGCAAAAAAGGAGTAAGTTTAATCTAGTATGCAATGTTTTATAGAAAAAAAAATATGTGGCAAAATGTCTAGGAAAACAGAGTAACCTATGAGTCTATTTAATAGGAGTATTTAAACATCCCTGGGCATTCATCCATTTATCACTTGCACACACTCATAGAATGCCTACTAGACACTGTAGTAGTTGAAGATCTAACAACAAATAAATCACAGACTTTCCTCAAGAAGCTGTTTAGTTAAAAAATATACATATTTTCCTTGGTGTGACAAATAGTATAGTAAAAATAATCACAAAGTTCATCTAGGAGGACATGGCATCAGAACTGAAACTTCAAAGACAGGAAGTTGTATGGGCTTAGGGAAGAGAAGGAAAAAATACAAAAGTGCAATAACACAGGTTCATGTGGCAGCATTTACAAGGACTATAGATGAGGAAGGATATGACACATCTGAGGTGGCTGAGTGCCTCCAGAATTAAAGTGTATCTGTATTAAGGAAGGCAAGTAGGGACATGGCAAAGATATAAATCTGAAAAGACCAGAAAATAAAAGGAAAGGTAATGTCATGCAATGGAAATAGGATTTTGATTTTGAAGTAATGCCAGTTTTCCATCTAGATGAGAGATAATCAGATATACAGTTTAGAAAGCTCCCTCCAGTGAGTGTGGCTAAAAAGATTAGGGCAAGAGTACTAAGAGAAGCATGAATAGTAATTAAAAAACCCGTGGCAATAATCAGGCAGGGAAAGAGGGCAGTCTGAACGGAGGTTGTGCCTGGGAAATGGGGACAATGAGACCATGTGGGTGTGGAAACCCAGATGCTGTAAACTAACACAGGTCAGAAAAGATGAGAAACAGATTTGTGTGAGGTGGCCAAAGAAAATTGTTTGCTTTGGACAAGGCAAATTTGAAGCTTTTCGGCAGTATCCAGGTGGACATGTCTTGAAAGAACATAAATTTATCTATCTATGTATAGAACACGTTTTCATTATTTTTTTTCATGATTGCCCCCTAAGGAGTTTTTAGGCAGTTTTTTCCTAATTGCACCTATAAAATTTTAAAACCACAAAGGTGATGCATTTGTTTATATATTGTATGCATTTCTGTGTTTTACACCGAAAAACTAGTTAAACAAGTAAAACATTTTTGCTCTCCAAGAACCAATTTTTTATCCCTGAAAAATACCTATTGAAGATACATAGTTAGACCTCAGAGGAATAAACTGGGGCACCAGCTTGTGACCAGTTGATCAAATTAACATAAACAGGCATGTAGAATGAATGAAAAGAGGATACGGGCTTGACATGACCAGGGTGGACCAATCCTAATCTGAAATGGCTAAGGAGTACAATCACAGGGAGAGGTAGTAAAGCAAAAACTTGAACAATGATAGAAGTTATCTTGGGTTTTGTGTAGTGTTGGGGTAGCAAGTATTGGCAAGGAGGAGTGGTATGAACACAGGACTAATAGGTAATCTAGTAGCATTCCCTACCATCAAGTAATCATTTAGAGCAGAGATACAAATAAAAAGTTAAAAAAAATGAGTCTTTTCCACCAGAATTTAATTTAGAGCTGGAAATTCAAGGCATACCTAATTAGGCACAGCCCTATTTACTTGCTTCCTTTCCAAGAATTTCCCACTTTAAAATTGGTTCCTAAATAAATTCCCATAAGTAATATTTTTAAAAATACAACCTCACTAAATATTCTATCACTATCAGAAAAATACCACATAACTGTGAATGTCCAGTAGTGGAAGAATGAGAGATTTCTGTGCCATCAGACATATTAACATACTGACTACTTATTGATTCAAAAACTATCATAGCCCTGAGAACAGTGAGTTACCCACCTAGACAGCCTTACTTTCACAACATGACACATGTAATAGGTTTAAATGCTATGCTGACCTACACAAGATGCAAGTTATACAGTGGTTCCCAGTACTTTAAAAACAGACTGAATATGAACACTTAGTCCATTATTTGGTACCTTGTTTAAAAGAAATACAGATTTCACAACATAGAGCTGAGTGTTTTATAAAAGGATGCTTCAAAAATATGACTCCATTGACTACCTAGACAAATTGTCACTAACATATGTGGATGATTTGGCAATGTTAAAGCATGCCCTTGACTAATTAATAGTCTTGAGCAAGTTACTGGACCTTAGCTTTCACACAGGTAAAATAAGAAAATGAAACAACATAGAAACTCTAAACTCACCTTTTACTCTAAAAATGTTAAGTATATATTATAGTGGAACTAAGAGTTAGTAGACACAGTATAATCTAATTTTAAAAAACTAGAAGAATGGAGAAATGTATTAATAATCTCATTTCAGAGTTATTTCTGTATGTTTGGGTCACTTGGAATCATTCTATAGGCTTCTGTTTTACATATAGACTCATGAATGTCAAACACAATTTTTAAAAGTTTCCTTACAATCCTATAATTTCATTCATACTATCATTTTAAATAGGTAAGGCCAGATTAAAAGCAGCAAACTCTTACAAATAGTTTTCTCTTTGTACAGCCACCAAAAGTTAACATGAAAGTTGTATTCTGTTTTGTTAAAAACCACCCTAGTAGCAAAGATCCTTTTTCTCACCTACCCTCATTTACAGCAAGGACTACTTGGGGAACATCCTTCCTACTCTGAACTCTCAGCAATCCATTGTTACCAGTCTACACCCTTGTAGTCTGTGTGGAATGTTAAGACAATCACCATCTACTTCCATAATTTGTAAAGTCTAGAGAGAGTATTCCAATAGTATTTGTGATATAGCTAAACAGCCAGCAACTGCTAGGATTAACGTATCAAGAAATCTCAATGATGGAAGAACAACCAATTGGATCAATCTTGGTCTTTATTTATAAGCAATGAGAATTCAGAATTTAGAATCATGGAACACAATGTAGTTTGTAGCAACTACTAGTTTAATAAATGTTAAGTACTCAAGTCAAACACAGATTTGAGTTATTCAGAGACAATTATAAAGCTTAACACTGATTTAGGCGGAGGGTGCTACCATGGGTTGTCTTGTTGAAAACATCAACTGAGTAGCGAGCAGCATACTGGGAACAGTCTAATATTAAAAAGTACACTCACTGAATAGTAAAGGGTAGCACATTACTCCTATCATTTCAAAATGGGTATTTAACAATTGAAAGACACCATTCAAACTTTCAAGTAAATAAATTTGAAACTAAGCCTAATAAATAAGAGGTTCAGAAAAGAAGCATGTTGTTGATAATGCATGGTGTTTCATTTAGAAATTACTATGCAACTCTAAACTCCAGGGTAGAGATTTTTCATTTATGTTCTAACATTCTTTAGAAAAATGTCACAATGCTGCCAAGACACTCTTCCTGCCTCAACTACTCTATTCTCTCCTTCCCCTCTCTCTAATCATTTTTCAAAAAGTCTTCCAAAAGCATGAAAGCATAAAATGTATAAGGTCCTTATCCATTTGCTCAATATTTTTTTGTTTCATTAATGAACATTACCAACTAAAAAGGCACATTCTACTTCTACTCCTATCATATTCATTCATATCATAATCAGTTTCTGAGTTAGAACAAGTAAAGCTTGGAAGACAGTGTTAATTTTGTTGAAGATGAGTAACAACTTAAGTACACTTTGCAATGCTAAATCTTGGAAAGAAAATAAAATATTGGCTTTAAAAATATGTTCAGGTTAAAAGTATGCTTTATTTAAACTTTAACAGTCAGTGCTTGACAGGATTTCTTTTGTATTATTGTCAAGAGATTTATCTTACTGATGAGTAATCATCACTGTTAAATAGAATTTCCTATTTATGTATTGTTTCTTTAAGGTACATTTAATGTGGCATAAATGTCAAATAAACAAAAGATGGATGGAGTTTCTCCAACCACTCTGTTCATTCCAGACAAAATAATGTTAAAAGTGGATCCTGTAATAAATCATGGCCTAGTTGTCAGTCTGAAGTAAAACTCCCCTGTAGTTACAGTGTAAGGTTTGGGGATATTTTTGAGGTATTCAGCACAAATTTGGATGACATTTAAAGAATATTCCATTATCTTAGTTACATAGAAATAATTTAAATTTAAACCCTAAAATAAAAACTAAGCATCTTGATGATCTTCAGAAGTCAAGGAACTAGAATCCCTTCCTGTTTGAAATAATGAAACTTACATCTTAAGAATATTATCACATTAATAACTCTATTCCGCATCATTATGTTCCTATAATCTAGGTATGTATCAAAGCAGCATTGAATATTTAGATGTTTAGATGCTGTGGACATTAGTGACCACCAGAAACATGACAAAGTTCTGAAAAATCTTGTCATGGCACCATTAACAGTTTAGAAGAATACAACCTTTGAATAATATTAATGCTGAGGATGACAGTAGCAATTCTTGTTTGGTACTTACTATGAGACAGACACTAGTCAAATAATATAACACATGTTAACTGCTTAAAACATACAACCCCCAACTAGTATTATATCCATTATTTAAAAAGGAAAAAGGAAATTTAGAGAGATCATATAGCTTACGCTGGATCACATGGAGCCAACGATTGGAATGCATGTTTGTGTGAATACAAAGCTCTTATCCACTATAAAATATAGTTCCTTTATAGAAGTCTTTAGCCTAGCTTATTATTAACAAAAGAAAGCAAATTCTCAAAAAATGGTAGTAAAACAACAAAAGAGCACTAATGCAATTTAAAATATTAGCACCCTTTAACCTGCTAATTCTAGCATGGAAAGCATCTAAAAACAGACACCATGCTCCCTTGAGGTCATTTCT